GCGGTCAACGAGACTACACCCGTCAGCACCGTGGCCTGCGGGCTGTGCAAGAGGGGCCGCGGGGCCTGCCCTCTGAGGGAGCAGGAGGATGGGGCCCTGACCAGGAGGCCTGGGATTCTGAGGGACTGCGGGTGGGGAGGGCTTCCAGAAACTTTGGATCCTGGACGCAGCTGGAGTTTCTCCTGTTAGTGGATGGATGTCCAGTGTGCAAGGATGCTGGCCGTGGGTGGGGAGGGAGGCAAAGATCACGTGACAGAGGCCTTGGGACCAAGCCAGGGTGGAGCCTGCGTGACCCAGGAGCTGGGACCTGAATGAAAAGCCCACTGGGTACAAGTGATCTTGAGGCTTGCTAGTGTAGACCTGCCCCCCACCCTCCCCGTCCCGCCCCAGATCATGTGCTGGGTCTACAGGGGGAAAGCCGCAGGCCAGAGGGCCCCACTGTGTGTGCAGGTGTGCTGAGGACTCACTGTGCCCCTCACTGAAATCAGGGGGTGTGGGGGTAGGGGGTGTGTCTGCCCAGCCATTCTCCCAGAGGCCGCCAAACTGCGGCTGGGAGGTGCTGCGATGGCTGTAGGCCAACACCCTAACAGGTTTCTCTGGTTGAGGACTCTGCAGGGGCTGAGAGGGATTCGGGCTCTGACTATGAATTATAATGAACTGTTAGGAGTTGGCAGTGTGCCTGGGCCCCAGGGCTGTAGGCCTGTAAGCTCACAGGATGCATGCACCCTCCCTAGTCTCCTCTCCTGCTCAGGGACCTGAGACCAACACTCTAAGTGACCAGAACCACTCTGAGCAGTGGCATTTCCCTCCCCCCGTGCACTGTCCTGCGTCTACTGTCCCTGGCCAGATGGGCTTCAGGGGGCAGAGCAGGCCCTCCAAGCCCACTCCCACTCCCTAATTATGAACTCAGACCAACCTTAACCTCTAAAGCCCCTGGAGACCTGAGGAGGGGGCCTGATGCTCAGCACACAGAGCTCCGAAGTATCTTCTCGAGTGAATGACGCTCCCGTTCCAAGCTACTTGCCGCGCCCCCCACTTTTTACTTTAGTAAACTTTAGGCCCAATGTGGAGCTTGAACCCATGATCTGGAGATCAAGAGTCTCGCCCTCTACCATCTGGGCCAGCCAGGTGCCCCTACTTGCCCCTTCTTCGTGTCTACCTCTAGCAGTGCTAGGCTCCCTTCACTTCAGAAATACCAAGATGGCCATCTGGGGCCTGCCTTTCAAAACACCCTCCCAGCCCCCACCACCCAGCTCACCTCCTGGTGTTCCTTAGGAATTATACATTTTCAAAATGAAAGCACTTACCACCCATCCAAACTTTCACCCAACTGGAAAAGTTAGTATTGTTTCTGGAATTTGTAAACTGATTTGATGCCCACTTCTTTCATACCATGGCCCTACCTTAGCTGTGCCCCCTTGGAGTAGGAGGCAGAAGGCTGATGGCACCAGCATGCTCCACCTGCTTGCAAGCATGCCTGGGCAGGAGAGACATCAAGCCCACCCCCACAGACGTGGTTTTCCAGGCACCGTTAAGTGTGCAGAGAAGGTGTCAGTACCCATGGGATCTACTCATAACTGGGAAGGTCTGCAACCCTTATCTTGGGCCCAGCAGTAATCATGTCCTCTTAGAATTTTACTCATGGAGGTCAGAGTTTCAGGTGGGCTGAAAGCAAGCAGCCCAGCTGGGGCCCAAACACTCTTTAGCATGGAGTACGGTATTTGAATTCTGGGGAAAGCACTTTGGTGTAAAACTCCAACTGGGGGCACCGGGTGACTGTTACACACGTCACCCCATCTCCCTCTGGAGTCAGGCAGGCCCTCAGCCTCCCCCATTGCTGAGACTCTAGACTGCAAGACCCACTCAGTCACTGGGCATCGGGGATACTGGTCTTCTGTATATTCAGGTCCAGTCTTGTAATGCTGCCCCTCTTACGCGTCTGGGGGGAGAGGTCTTTGTTTAGATTGCTGGAGTCAAAAGAAAAGTGTAGGATCCCTGGTCTTGACACGCGTTCCCCAGGGCACCTATCCAAGAAAAATGATCGCTAAGAACCCTCCACCCTCCTTTTTCTTCCTTTAGAATAGATCACTGATTCTGGCCTTTCTCGGCCTGACTGGCCATGGCTCCGGCACCCTTACTCCTGCTCATAAGTGTGTATGGCGGTCCTCACATGGCCAGCAGTGCCAATAGCACCCAGGAGCTTATGAGAACTACCGAATCAGAAACTGGGGGTGGGACCTGGCTCTCCATATATTACTGAGCCTTCTGGGGGATTCTGATTCTGAGTTTGAGAACCACCGGTACCGTGTCTCTCCTAAGAGCCCCGGGTAGAAGCCTCACTTGGTTCTCTGATCCACACGTGGAGAACCTGTTCAGATGCACGTGGCTTACTGCTATGGGAGTATCTCCCCAGGGAAGGTGGCCTACCTCCCTCCCACGTTCCCAGTTTGTAACAGTCATCTGGCCCCTGGCTTAGGAGAGGCCAGCAGAGGCTAGATTTGGAATCCACTGAATGGTTCTTCATCAGCCTTTTCTTCCAGAAGCTGCAGCAGGAATTCAGATGGCTCTAGGCATTGCCATAGCAACTGCACCTTTCTGAAGCTGTCACGGACTACAGGAGCAGGGAGTAAGCAATGCAAAAGAGGGGGAGTCAGCCAGTGGATAGAGCACAAGCAGCGGATGAGGGGGCTGTGAAAAGACATGGAACCTCGGCACGGCTGGGATTTCTGCACTTGAGCGTGTTAGAGCCTCCACTTCCTCCAGGACACATTTGGGACCTCTGTAGGGGTCTTCACAGCCACAAAGTACCGGCCCAGGGGGTCTAAGATGCTGACTGTATCTGTCACTTCTCTTAAAAGATCATCTGCTCAGGTTAAATTAGACTCCTAGATGGTCACAGAGCAATTAAAAAGGAAGTGCCTCCCTACAGGATGACACCTGTGTTCTAGGTCAGAGTTGAGCAAAGGGACAAGCTTCAAACTTCTGATACGGATCTGCATTCTAAAGCAGATGCCAAAAAGTCAGGAGGCACCTCGGGGCCTTAGATAATGGTGGATGTTCTAGCTGTAAAGGAACGCAGCTGTCAGCAAGAATTGATATAAAACCCAACACCCATGCACGGTCATGCTGGCATCGGAGCTCATCCCCCTGGCGCTCTCGAGTCCCCCTTCTCACTCTTCATGTGCAGGTGAGAGGCTGGGAGTCCAGAGCCTCTCCTGTGGCTGAGGATGTGAAGGCTCCTCCTCGGCTCGAGGACCTGCTGAGTGGTGACGGGGCCTTGTGGAGTTGGGCAGCCTCCCGGATGTGGAGGGGCACACCTGGGGCCCGGAGGACACTACTGCACACCATGTGCACCTTGGCCTGAGCACTTGGCTGTTTGGGAGCCCCTGGTTCTTTTAATCTGACTGTTCTCTGGCTCTTTCTGTTCTGGAAGAAGCAAACTGTTCATGTGAGCAACTGGAAGGTGGAATTCTGCCCTGTGCTTGGGGGCAGGGTACAAGGTGTGGGCAGTCAGGATCGTGGGGGAAGCATATAGTCACTTCAAAGAGTCATCCCTGAGACCTTGCTGCAGCCACCCCCATACCTAATCTCACCACTGGCGGCACGGAGTGTCCCCCAGAACTTTCCATTTGGTCACTCTCATTCTTGCCCCATCTGGCCCTCTGGGCAAGGCTGGATCCCTGTTTCCTGAGTGTGTGGGAGAACCTTTCCACCAGTACTTTTATTTTACCAGAGCCCCTGCTGGCCTTCCAGGGCCTCGGCTCCCTGTTGGTCACAGTTGAGCTGAGGCGGCGCTCAGGAGCTGCTGTGGGAGGCAAGCCCTCCACAGGCAAGGCGGCTTCTCCTCAGGCTCCTGTTTCCTTTTTGCTCTCACACAGCTGGAGTGTGATCCAAGTTGCACCTGCCCCTCACACTTAGTACTCATGACATGGAGGTACTGGGCACAGCACTCCCCCACACAAGCCTTCACCTCCTTCAGGGCTGGGAGTGATGGAGGGAAGGATGCAGAGTTAACCCCACCCGTTTCCCCCTGACTGCCCCCTCACGAGGTTTCCACGTGACTCCCATCCGTGTGGCTGCGGGCTGAGCCCACTGGCTCTGCACCGGCCTCCTCAGGCAGTGGGCAGGGGTCTGCAGAGGCGTGGGGCGGGGGGATGAGAGAGCCAGCTGTGGGGCCTCTCACTTCATTCCAGTCGCTGCCCTTTATAAATATTTATAGCAGTTCTCCTACTAAAAATAACATCCTGGAGCCCAGGGAGCAGAAAAAAATAAATGAAAATCACCGGGAATTGGGATTGATTATCATGTGTGCCAGAGCAGAATGGAACCCTGAGAAGGGGAGAGGCGGCGCGAGCACAGCGCCCGGGGGTCAGTGCTCCCTCTGGCGGTCACGGGTCAGTGCTCCCTGCCTGGCTGGCCGCTGGCTCTGCTGCAAAGAATCTTCTGGCTGCTGGAGGAGGAGCCGTCCAGGGCTGCAGTGCAAGCTCTCGGCTCCCCCTTCCCGCCTCGGCTGCAGAGCCTCGGCATCAAACGGGGCGGAAGCCTAACCAGTGTGAGAGAAAGGAAGGAGGCTATTTTTAGCGCTGTGGCCAGGGTGTGAATGTCTGTAAAACTGAGCAAGGCCCGAAGTTGTCTTTGCACGATACGATACGGGGAAGAAAATCTGTCGGTTTTTAAAGGTCAAAGGTAGGAAGGGATCCTGTGCCCCCACCCTGGGGGGCACCCCATGTGCCGGCAAGAACTCCATCAGGGTCACACACACAGGAGATTCGTGCTGTTTCTTTTCTCTTTCCAACCTCCCGGTAAATTCCTGTTGCAGAGATGAGACTTGTGGCCCGAGGGGAGTGATGAAGATGCTAGTTCATGCAGGACTGTGCAAGGGGGAGGCCCACCCGGCGGCGGAGGCAGCGGCAGCATCTGGCGGTCCCTCCCACTTCCCACCGGCTGGGGCTCCCTGCTCCCTGCCAGGTAGTGACTTCTGGCAGCCTGCAAGACTGGTCCAGGTGTGCAGCAGAAAGATGGACAGGAATGCGCCTCCGGGGGAGGGCCTCGCCTTCCTCGTGTCAACGCCAGCTTGCTGCATGTTCCCTGTGCCTATATAGGACAGACGCGCTGTTATTCAGGGGCGCGCTGGAGAGGGCCTCCGAGCACATGCTGCTAACATCTGCTGGGGACAAGACAATGTCCTGGGGTGGGGCTGCGGGGATGCTTCCCTTTCAACTTGGGAGATGCAAAGAACTGGTAACACACCCCCTTCTAGGGAAAGAGGCAATCTCTTTTCTGGGGTACCTGGAGTTTTTGGAGTTGCTGCTGAGGTCACAGCGTCGGGGAATGTTTCAAGGAAGAGGGAAATGGGCTCACGATGCAAGGTTTGGAATGTGGTGTTTTGGGAAGAAGGGTCGTGACTGGGAAGAAGGACCCTCAACTTGGAGAAGTGCCTAAAAACCCTGGGTGGGAGGGAAGGGAGCCTTAGCCTCAGGCCAGAAGACAGCAGAATGGAAGGGTCTGTGAAACTGAGCCACCTGAGGTGTCCTGCTTTTCCCCTGACCCTTTCTCACAAGTCCTGACAGGCTCAGAGGAGAGCACCGGGCAGCCCACTCTGAGCCTGCTTCTGGCCCCGAGCTCCCAGGCCATGGGCTTCATTTCCTCATCTGCGGCCTGAGGAAGGTGAGACGGATGGCTCCCACGTGCCTTCTCCTTACCCCTGGTTCCTGTGCGCCCCGGGGAGAGGGGCTCTGGCAGGCTTGTGAGGGGCAAGTCAGCTCCTGACTCCCTCCTTGGCTGGGACATCCCAGCCTGCTATGGGGAAGGGCCTTGCCTGAATGTGCAGTGGGTTCGGGCAGAGCCATGCCCAGGCCCCGGAGGCCTCGAGCTTTCCAGGGGCGTGGGTGCTTCCCAGAGACAGCAGAGAGAAGAGAACCCCCTCAACGGCCTGGGGCCAATGGGGGAGAGGTCATCAGGAAAGGGCTGGGAGGCTGCTCCAGGATTGGACGCCTCAGAAGGGCTTGGGAAAGTTCTTTGTACAGGATAGTGGGGCTGCTGCCCTGGCTCTTCTGCCTGGAAGGTCTGTCACCGAGGAAGATGGCCTGACTTTCACCAGCAAGAAGTTGGGGAGGAGAGGAGAGGCAAGATGGATAAAGACATCTCACCAGACCAAAGACATCTAGCCTGGAAAAAAAATGCTTCTTTGGAACAGCTTTGGTTGCTCAATTATTTTCATCCTTTCTTTCTAGAGAAAGGCCCCAAAGCCGTAATATCTTGGAACTAGGGGGAAAGTAGAATTAAGGTCCTCAGATGGAAAGATGTGAAAGACCAAATTCCTACAGCAACGAGCACTGTCCTCTGGGGAATTTTGTGCTCTCCTTAGTTGTTTTAGGACGTGAGAGGGTGCGGGTTGGCAGGCCCGATGAGAAGGGGTTTGGGTGGCTTTGTGGAGTGAGGGTGATCCTGCATGCCTGAAATTCCATCTGTGGTCAGGCACAGTGGCAGGTCACAGGTCTGGGTGTCAGAACCCAAGGGCAGTGGTTTGGACCCCTGGAGAGAGATGACAGTGGCATGGGCCACCAGGAGCAAGGTGGCAAAGGTGGCCGGACGGCCTCGGCTGCCTGCTCCCGGAGTGTGTTTCAGCTAGCAGCTCCTGGTCTGCCAGCTGCATCCAGACACAGGTCCCGCCCGAGGCCCAGGCCATGCCCCATGTAGAGCAGGATGGTTCCGAGCCCAGGTGAGGGGCTGAGACGGTATGATGGCAGGGCTGGGGCAAAGGGAAAAGGTAGAGCTGGGCTCTTTACAGGAGACCCTTCACTTGAATCTCCATCCCTCAGGATGGCTCTGGCTTGGAGAGTATGACCAGGGCAAGGGAGGAGGAGAAGGAAGACCTTAGCTGCAAAGGGAAGGGGGCCGTGGGGAGGGCGGAGAACATGGTACTCACCCGCGCTTCCTCTCTGTCCCGGCTCCTCTGCTAACCTGTACAGCATGGACACAAACAACACACGGACGTCACACCCGGGGTCTCCTCACCATTCTGTGTCTTCTCCCAGGGGACTGACTCCCCAGCCCACAGACCCTCATCTGTGCCAGGCTTCTGGACTTGCCTCTCCTCTCTCCCCTCCCCGTATGCTGACTTTTCCTAACCAGTTATGAAACAGGCTGGGAGAGTCATGCTACCTACAACCAGCAACTGCCACAAACATAAAACAGCCAGACAAGGGCAGCCTGGGTGGTTCAGCAGTTGAGTGCCTGGCTTGGGCCCAGGGTGTGATCCTGGAGTCCCCAGATCAAGTCCCACATCGGGCTCCCTACATGGAACCTCCTTCTCTGCCTGTGTACCTGCCTCTCTCTCTCTCTGTGTGTGTCTCTCATGAATAAATAAATAAAATAATTAAAAAAATAAAACAACAGCCAGACAAGCATTCTTGGGAGGAGAATAATAGTACTAACGTGGAAATCTAGGGAGCGGTTACATCAGGGGGCATGGCCCATCCCCTGATTCTGAAAGTGACCAAGGTGAGAAGGAATTAAATGTTGATACAGGCAGTATTTCCTGCCTGCAGGCACATCTGATCGGGAATGCTAAATCACTGCTGCTCGCCCTGAGGTCTCGAACACTGCCTGCACCCTCAAAAGCCTGAGAATTCACAGAGGGCCACTGTTGTCAGTGTACCAGACCTGCACGAGCCTTCTCAGGGCACGCAAGCTGCATTTACAGCTCCCAACACGTGGGTGGCAGGTTCTGGAGAGGCAATTCTACAGGACAAAGGAGCATAAAATGAGGCTCTGGAGGGGCTGAGATGAAATTCGGGCTCTGAAGTAATATGTTAGTCGATTTCATCTATGCGGTCTTGGTTACAAGCCTCACCACTCCAGGTGAGCAGTGAGGGGATGCGAAGTCAGAGGGCACCCCAGTGGAGCAGAAGCGTTCCTGAGGATGCAGCCAGCCAGAGATCCAGGGGCAGGCAGAGAGAGGGCTGCGGTAGGGGCGAACGTGGTGGGGATGTCCAGCTAGGTCATGAATTCTTCGGAAGGGTCCATTTGGCTCTTATGGCTTTTGCACCGAGCAGACTATGTCTGCCTGACAGGGTGCTGACCAAGTTGTGTTTAGGTTAAGTCCGCATGATTTCAACCCCAAAGAAGCAAAGCTCCTCTTTCTCTATGGTTGACGGTTACTGATCTCTGATGCCTTGGTGACACCAGTTACTGCCATGTTGGTCTACAGTAAAAATTCATGCCCAGACCATGGCAGACAATCAGAAGGTCCATCCATAAAAACACTCACCTTATACCCCAACCCACATACTGACTCCAGTGCCACTACAAAAACATATCCTGGGACCCCTATAATGCTGAGAGTCAAACATTTGTTTAAAACCACACTCACATCTCACCTCGACTCTTAACACTCAGGATGGCACCTAAGGCCGCAGAAACAGAAACTCAGGTGCCTTCTCAGGGTCTCACAGGGACAGACAGAAAGGCTGCTGTGTGCACTGGAGGAGACATGGGGAGACCTCAAGAGCAAGACGGCCAGAAAGGAGAGATGCTGGCAGGGAAGACACAGGCCCCCGAGGCCAGGAGGCGGCAGGCAAGGGAAGCCATGCCCGTCCACATGTGAGACACAGCCTGCAGCCAGCCCTGAACTGGGACCAGGGCTGCAGTCCACAGTCAGGGCAAGGCCCCAGGGGTCGGGGCCACCCTCCGGGGGCTGCAAGGAATGCAGGGAGGCTGAGGAGAAGCCATGGGAACAGCTATGGGGAAGGGAGGGTCAATGGGAAGAGAGGCCAAAGCAGCAGCTGTTACGTCTTCAGCCAAGAACATTCCACATGAACGCCGGGATCCGGTTGGGTTGTGTGTGTGCGCGTGTGACTGCAGCACGTGTTTATGGAGTGTAACCTTGTCTCTGTGCCTCTCCTCCCCTCTTCACCCCTTGCATGACAAGCCTCCTGCCTTCTTCCTCGTCCGCTCTCAGCACAGCAAGTTGGTCTCCTCTGCCATTCCCTGTAGCACTGCTAGAGGTCTCCGACGTAGCTGACCCCTACTTCTGACATTCTGGTGACTGTACCACATACGTCACTCCTCAATTCCTCAGTTACCGTCCACTGCCTCGCAGGCCTCGCTCTGACTCACTAGACAACTGTGGCACCTGGACTACGTTTCTCTCTCCTCCCTGTATCCTCCTCGGCCGCCCCCGAGTCCTGGTGGTGACTCCGAACACCTGCCTGTCTGCCCCCTGCTAGCCCCGTGGGCAGGCGGTGCTGCAGAGGCTCGGCCCCAGGCGCTCCTCCTTTCCCATTGCACCTTCCTTGCCTGCAGCTCCCACGCAGCTTCTTCCCACCCTTCCTTTTCCCACTTTTCCTAGTCTTTTCCCACTTTCCCTTTTCCCACTTTTCTCGCTTTGCCTAGTCTACCAGCCACTCAGATGACAGCACGGGGGCCGAGTCAGCCGCCCGGCCTGCATCCCGGCTCTGCCAGCTACTACAACCTGTGCAGGCGATGTCACCGCTGAGCCCTGTCTCAAATCCCTCCTTGTGGGCTGTGAAATCACACGGAAAGGGTGTGCTCAGTGCAGAGCATGCAGCAGAGGTGGAGAGAGTGGGCATGTCTTCTATAGCCCAGCCTCCTTGGGGCCACTCCCACTCCCAACCTGATGAAGCACTCTCCAGCACATCACGTGGCTTATTTCCCTGTATTTGTTCATTTGCTGATATCCCACTATGTGCCAGGCACTGTTGTGGGCGCTGGGGATACCTCCTGAACAAAAGAGACCAAAATCTCCACCTTGTGGAGCTTATGGTTGGAGGAATCCAGAAAATACACATATTAATATATGATAGAAATAACGGCTAACTCTCAAATGTTATGTGTTCAGCATAACACAGACACATGAAGATTAAGAGTGCGAGGCACGGAGTCAGAAAGACCCAGTTCAAAGACCCTATTTTCTCATTGGTAAAATAGGGACATCATTATATATCTCTCAGGGTTGGTAAGTATTAATTAGATAATATACGGACATCATTTAGCACAGCTCTTTGTGCATAACAAGTTATTAAGCAGGTTTTATATCCAATAAAACTAGGAAGGCATTACTCTCCTTTGCTGATACCTTTCTTTATTGCTTTTAATTCTTCCATTGAGGTCACAAAACCATTTGGCTATTCTGCCCACAATAATCTCTTCCTTTGCAGAAACCCTTCTTGTATTTATAATCACACACTCGAAGTTTGATGATTAACTTTTCCTGCCACTTCATTTTATCTCCTATTTATTTTGCATATCTCTGTCTTGCCTCCATAACTATATTATAAACTCCTGGAGGCAAAGGGTCATGTTGTGTGCTTTCCTGGTATCTACTTTCTATATCTGAACCATCTCTCATAGAATTGGGAAATGAGGCAGCTTCTGTTGATCACCTGACACCACCACCTCCTTGATGGCCAGTTGGGGAAAGCAGACAGAAGGCACTGTGGGGATCTGAAAGCTCTGGGGAAAGGGCAGCAGGAAGAAAAGCAGAGCTGAAAGTGGGGGGGGGGGGTTGGTTTCCCTCAGGGGCTAAGTAGCTCTGCCTCCCACTCAAACTAGGGGTCCTGTGAGCTGCCTTTACCTCTGTCTTTCCCATTCTGCTTCTTCTCTTCTTCTTCCTCTGCACCTTCCTCTGCTGTGAAAACAAGTCCAAGGTGGCCCGTGACCCTTCAGCACAGCACAAGCATGGGAGGAAGGTGAAGGGAGTGACTTAGCAGGCTTGGGATGAAACCCTAGCTAAAGGCTTACGGTCACAGGCCTCCAAGGGCGCTGACACTCACCTCATCTGCACCGTGCATGGTGCACACCCCTAGCACTTACCCATGAGCTCTGAGCCCCTAGGGGCGGCACAGGCTGAGGTCACCCAGCCTGCTGAGGGCTCTGTGGCCTGCTTCCCTGGTGACTGGGGTGGGGGTGGCTCCCTCATCTCTATGCCTGCTTTCCTTAAGGTGACCACATCTACTAGAGATACACCTAATATCTTGCAGTCAGGTTCAAGAAAGCAACCATCCAAATACGTGGTGAGGAATACCTATATTAACTTCTGTTAAGAGAAAACAACCAAAAACTGGAAGTTTTAGCTGACAACAAACTTAAAAGGACTGAATGGCAAAGTGGCTGTGTGTGGAAAAAGTGAATGCCCTCTCAGGTTGCTTTCCCAGGGGCCTCACTCAGGGAGGTCACAGTTCATTGTGCTGTGCAGGGAGCAGATACCCCGTGATAGGGAGAAGTGCTCTCAGCTCTGGGAACTCACTGTGAATTGGGGCCTTGAAACTCTTGTCCACATCCTAGTGCAAGCAACCAAATGGTGAAGTGAAAACCATGTCACATTAAGAATGTAAGAATGGCTGAAGGAATAGTGGACAGTCACCTTTAAGAGGAGAAGGCATAGGGACAGCCATGTTACCAGCCACCAAATACTTAATGGGCTAAATTAAAGGCATAGGAGGGCTAGATTTACTTTGGGTAGGTTCAGAGGGTGGGATGAGGATGAATTGCTTACAGAAAGGCAAATTTTGGCTTCCTGATAAGAACCTCCCCATGATGAGAACTGGTCATGAATGTGCTCACTGGCAATATCCAAACAGAGGACTTTTATATTGGGCAGCAAGCTGGATTAAATGACTTCTAGGATCTTTTCCAACCTAAGATTCTGTTATTTGTGAAAATGTTTTTAAAAAGATGAGGAGGAGGGATCCCTGGGTGGCGCAGCGGTTTGGCGCCTGCCTTTGGCCCAGGGCGCGATCCTGGAGATCCGGGATCGAATCCCACATCGGGCTCCCGGTGCATGGAGCCTGCTTCTCCCTCTGCCTGTGTCTCTGCCTCTCTCTCTCTCTGTGACTATCAAAAATAAATTAAAAAAAAAAAAAAGATGAGGAGGACAAGCTATGGCTATAAATAGTATGTTTACATGGTATGGAAAATATTTAAAGACAATCTGAGTATCTCACCTCATCCTAACAGAACCCCCAGCAGTGATAGTAAACATGTGAGGGTGCTGGGCAAGCCTCTCCTATTCACTGAGAAGCTGGCAGCCTCACAGGTAAAGGGAGTCTATTCCTGCATTCTGTAAAGATGTGGTGTCACCTGTAGACTTAGTCCACATCTACCTGTGGACTTCAGGGCTTGAGAGAGCAGAGCATCAGAGGTGGCTCTCTGGGTGCTGTGTGTTTAATGGTGTCCAGTTACCTCTCCTCCTAGTGTGATGAGCTCATGAGACATTGATCTTGCCCAAACTCTAGTCGTGAGGCACTACGTAGATTAATTTCCATGACCTGAAATTCCTTCTAAAAGTAGGGTTTCTGGCATCTTTGGGAAACTATATTAGGGAAGGGACTTTCTAATCACCTGTGAAGTCATCTCAAAGGCAATCACCTCTTCTATTTCTGTGTGTTTATGGAGAGGGTGGTGCTTCTGACAAGGGTTGAGAAATGGTACCAGAAGAGAGACAGCGTCACCTTCATACTCCCCGCATGGGAGAACCAGCATCTTAACTGCCTTGGAAAAACTAACCTAGGCCATGCACTTATTCTAAGTGGACATTGGAAGATATGAGAGGGAAGCCATGGGCCAGCCCCATGACAACACTAAAGGTATATGTTTTGTCCTTTGAAGGTCTGAGGACATACACCTCTCTGCCCTAAGAGCATGGACTGATGGTTTCAGTGGATGTGTTTGAACAGCCCATGGAAAACCTGCTTTATCTTTTTATTTAATAACCTTGTTAATCTACTTTGAGGTATTTAAAAGACTATATTAGCTGAAAAGAAACAAAAGAGAGCCATATGTAGCACTTAGGAAGGGAACCCATTTGTCTAATTGGGAACATGGGAATCTGACCACTGTAAACAGGTTAGTAAACATCTGGCAGTTACAAAACTAAGAGAGTCATGGGGATTTTTGAAAATATGACGATATGGGAATGGCCTTTTATTTCTTCTCTCTTTCCTGGGTTTTATGTAAGGGGAGCAACTAGGTAAGCATCTCCAGAAAGTCACCAAAAGAGCTAAGTGTGGGAGAGATTGAGGAAGGAGCCACACGTGTGATGGAAGAGAGCGGGGTGAAGAGCAACAGGCTCCAGCCGCGAACTTCATGTGAAATCAGAGCCTAGTCATGGACAAAAGGAGAGAATAGGGTTTCCAAACTAAATCAAAGAGGAGAGAGCAGAAAGGCAGCTGGGAGAAAGTCCGGAAGCTTTTGTGGCTGATTCGGTTCCAGTCATCCAGGAAAGCTTCAGAACGAGGTTGTCGAGCAGCCCTAGGAAAGAGCAGCTGCAGATGCAGTGCTGCTGGAAGACAAGTTAGGTGAGGAAGGGGCTACGTGTATGTGCACAGAGATCTGAATTTCTTTAAACTCTTGACTGTGTTTGTTCTACAAGGAATATCCTTAAGAGAAACATAATGTGTAACTGTGTGCGTGTGGCCCCGTGCGGGACAGAGGCTCTCTGGGTGAGGATGTCCAGCGCGTTCCTAGAAGGCCAAGAGACTGAGCGGTGAGCTGAGGCAGCGCGTGCTGCATGAGGATGTTTTACCAAGTGCTGAGGAAGTGAGGAGGCCATGGGGCTGGAAGGGGAGGCGTGAGGCCGTGCGGGAGCTCTGGGCTTCACCTGAATGGAGCTCCTTCACCAGGGATGACATGGTGTTGGTGATGGAGTCAGCAGCCACCAGCAGGTCATTGCGGAGGTTTCTCCTCGTACCTGAGGACAGTCAGAGCAGATGGCAATGCCAGGTGGGTGGATGTGGAGAAGAGAGCCGAGCGCCCGCCTCAGTCTGCCAGGCCCCGGACCTGGTGCAGGACACCTAGGGGAGAGGCAGCCACAGCACCTCTACCCACTCCTGGGCACGTGAGAGGCACGAGGCACCCAAACCCTCCTTCTCCTCCCTCTTCTTCTCTACCTGAAGATTCTTAGCCACAATCAAGAGAGTTGGATTCCAAAATGAACACGGCTCACAGTTGGCCTGAGGCAGGCCTTTATTCTCCAGCAGCTGCACCATCCTGTTCTTGGTCTCTTCCTCAGCTGCGAAGTCATCCCCCAATTACATAACACAGCTGGTTGTGACAATTCTGTGCTCAACGTGTGTCCAGCAAAGTCCTACTTAGGGTTCTTAGAGTACTTCCTCCTCTAACTTGCTCTAAAGACTTCCCGGGCAAAGCACAACTGTAGGAATTGCTCCATCCACTTCCTCTCTGGAGGAGGCAAAGCCCAAAGGATGAGGCACTTCCCTTAACCTGGGAAAAAGAGCACAGAAGTCCTGGAGGCCTGCTCTTCACACACATATATAGCCTGTAGACCTCCCATTGGGAGATCAGCCCATCTAATGAGAAAGGACCAGCACTTGACTTATTTATACCATATATGAAAATCAGGATCACTTGAAGTTATGCACACAAAAGAAAAGAAACTGGAAAAATCTCAGTTGGTATCGTGTTTATGTTTCCAAACCCCTCTAGCTCTCCATTATATCCTATTCCCAAATCTCACCTTGTGCAAAGGCCTCCTGCATGTCTCCCCCGACTCCACTCAGGGGGTCCTGTGGACAGTGGGTGGGGGTGGAGCCAGCTGACGTTGAGCGGACAGGCATGGGCATTGGGCGGCCACCTCCATGTGTGGGCGATGTATGTGGTGACCCTGTGGCCTGAGCCTGGGAGAATCAAAGACATAAAACATGTTATCTCAGGTATCTTACCTCTTTGAGGGAGGAGAAAGTGCTTTTTCGCAGTCTATCTAAGCCAGCTGACACAGCTGCGGTTCAGTTGGGCAGTGCACTGCAGGATCACATTTGAAAGGAAGGAGTCGGGCTGCCTCCAGGACTGCAGAGAGGAAGAAAAGGAAAAAAAAAAAAAAAGAAAAAGAAAAGAAAGGAAGAGGGGGCAGGGAGAAGGAGAGAGAAAGCCATGAGACTGGACTAAGACTGGGAGGGAAAGTAGAGGCTAGCATGGAAGGAGTGGGCTTGCAGGTAGACAGATTGACAGAGTAGCTGGGTCCAGGTTCGGAGCCAGGTTGGGGCCACACAGTTAGGAAATGATATACAAACATCCTTAATTTTTGTTTGCAAGCACACTTATGTACATTATCTCATTTGACCCTCACAACAACTTGTGAATAGAAAGGGCATACATTTTTGTATCCATATTATGGAAGAAAAACACGATGAAAAGAGTAAGAGCTTTGTGCCAGGCAACATAGCTCATGGAAGTGTGGAAATAACCATCTACTCCAAGGGCAATGACGTATATACTCTGTACCTCTGCAACTCCCAGGCTACATAAACCACGTGCCTGAGTGTGTGTCAGAACTCAGCTGCAGGCTGCTTCCCAGGGGCCAGGTCACTGTACTTGTCAAACGTACACAGTGAGATCTTTTTGGGGCATTCCATGAGGACCAGGTAAGAATGGACACATGTTTAGTGGAAACTGAACTTTACTTGCGAAGGCTCTGGTATAGTTTTGGAGAAAGCAACGGGATAACATTTAAAAATTCTACTTAAAGGGAGCTGCCTGAGATTTGGGCCCTGCTGTGCTGTTCAGAGCAAGGGAAACTGACTGTGGTATATAGTGGGTTTTTTATGGAAGCAAAACTGGGAAAATATAAGCCAAAGTATGCAAATGAGTTCAGATGAAGAGATTTCTCTCTTGGGGATCTAGCTCAGAAACTCCCCACACAACAGAATCTGTTCCAAACATGCTGACGGCCTATATGCACAAAGCCTTACCTCAATGCTTCAGCCAGTACAGGCACTGCACTAGACAGAAATGGTTTGTTCTCCGTGACTCTTTTTTTTTTTTAATTTTTATTTATGTATGATAGTCACACAGAGAGAGAGAGAGAGAGAGAGGCAGAGACACAGGCAGAGGGAGAAGCAGGCTCCATGCACCGGGAGCCCGACGTGGGATTCGATCCCAGGTCTCCAGGATCATGCCCTGGGCCAAAGGCAGGCGCCAAACCGCTGCGCCACCCAGGGATCCCTCTCCGTGACTCTTAATTCTGATTTGTGCAAGTGCATGTATGTGTATTTTGAGAAATTTAAAATATACGGAGAGCTAAAAAGTATAACATGATAAAGCATCCACACTGATAACTGTCCATATTTTGTCAAATTCACTTCAACCTAAGAACATTGCAGATAAGTCTGAAGACCCCTTTGACCACCAGTCCTGTCTAGGCCCAGTCCCTCCTCTCACCCCTTCAGAGTCAATGATTATAAAAATCTTGGGGTGAATTTTTTTTTACTTATGTGTACATATATAACTATGAATAATGTATGATATTCATGCTTTTAAATTTTGCATGGATGGTATCAGACCACCCATATCATTTTGCAATTTGCTTTCATCACTTAGCATACTTTCTAAGATCTTCCCATGATACAAATGATAGAAACCTAGGTCCTTATTTCACATTATATACCAAAATTAACCCAAAAGGGATCATACTAAACATAAGAACTAACCCATACAGGGACACCTGGGTGATTCAACAGTTGTGTGTCTGCATTCGGCTCAGTGCGTGATCCCAGAGTCCCTAGATCGAGTCCCACATCGGGCTTCCTGCATGGAGCTTGCTTCTCCCTCTGTCTGTGTCTCTGCCTCTCTTTCTCTGTCGTCTCTCATGAATAAATACATAAAATCTAAAAAAAAAAAAAAAAAAAAAAAAAAAAAGAACTAACCCATACAACTTTTAGAAGACAAGATTAGGCAATAGTTTATTTTATTTTTTAAAAGATATTATTTATTTATTCATGAGAGACACACACAGAGAGAGAGGCAGACACAGGGAGAAGCAGGCTCCATGAAGGAAGCCCGATGTGGGACTCGATCTGGGGGCTCTGGGACCACGCCCTGAGCCAAAGGCAGATGCTCAACCGCTAAGCCCCCCGGGGGGCCCCAAGGCAATAGTTTTTTAGATATAACACATAAAGCACAAGCTACAAAAGAAAATGTTAAATTGGATTTCATCAAAATTGAAAACTTTTTTCAAAAGATACCTTTAAGAAGGCAAAAAGACAACTCACAGAACGGGAACAAATTTTTGCATATCATCTATCTGATCAGGGGCTTATATCTAGAATACAGAAAAACCTCTTGACAATAATAAAATGACAAGTAACCTAATCTAAAAATGGACAAAGGGCCTGAATAGATATTTCTCCAAAGAAGACATACAAATATCCAATAAGCATATGAAAAGATGCTTGACATCATGAACCATTAGGGAGATGCAAATCAAAACCACAATGAAACACCACTTCACACCCACTGGGATGCCTACAATAAAAAAGACAGATAATAACAAGTGTTGACAAGGGTGTGGAGCATGGAATCATGGCTACTGGTGACAGGAATGGAAAACGGTGCATTCCTACTGCTTTAGAAAACAGTCTGGCAGTTCCTCAAAAGATTAAACATTGAGTGCTATATGACCCAGCTATTCTACTCCTATATGCGTATACCCAAGAGAAATGAAAACATGGGGCTACACAAAAATTTGTATACAAGTGTTCACTGCAGCATGATATGTAACAGCTGAAAGGTGGAAACAATCCAAGTGACCATCAACTGATGAATGATTTAAATAAAAATGTGGAATATAGTTGACCCTTGAACAACATGGATTTGAACTGCACAGTCCACTTACATGTGGATTTTTAAAATAAATACAGCAGAGCACTATAAATGTATTTTCTTTATGACTTTCTTCAACATTTTCTTTTCTCTAGCTCACTTTATTATAAGAATACATATACATGTAATACAACATACAAAATAGATGTTAACTGACTATTTTACGGATAAGGCTACTGGTCAGGCAGCCCTGGTGGCACAGTGGTTTAACGCCGCCTGCAGCCCGGGGTGTGATCCTGGAGACCCGGGATCAAGTCCCACGTCAGGCTCCCTGCATGGAGCCTGCTTCTCCCTCTGCCTGTGTCTTGCCTCTCTCTCTCTCTCTCTCTGTCTCTCATGAATAAAAAAAAAAAGGCTACTGGTCAACTGTAGGCTATTAGTAGTTAAGTTTTGGGGGAGTCAAAAGTTACCCACAGATTTGTGACTGTGCAGGAGGTCAGTACCCCTAATATCCCCCCCCCCACTGTTCAAGGGTCGACCAAATAGGATTCAGCAAATAAAGGAATGAAGTTAGGATACATGCTATAACATGGAAACCCTGAAGATATTGTAGTAAGAGAAATTAAGCCAGTTACAAAAGACCAAATATTATCTGATTGCATTTCCAGGAAATGTCCACAACAGGCAAATCCATAGAGATAGAAAGTAGACTAGTGGTTGCCTGGGGCTGTGGGCCTGGGAGAAATGGGGAGCGAGTGCAAGGGGGTGTGGGATTCTTTCAGAGGGTGATACTGTTCTAAAGTTGATTGTGGTGATAGTTGCACAGTTCTGTGAATAGAGTAAAAACTACTGCATTTTAGGTTTTAAAAGATACTGTGTGAATTCTATCTCCATAAAACTATTATCAAAAAGATACCACTAAGAAAAATAAAAAGTCACAGACTGGGAAAATATATTTGTAAATTATATCTGATAAAAAAAAATTGTGGGACTTTGCAGTGATTTTTTAAAATTTGACACTGAAAGCTAAGGCAACAAAAACAAAAACAAGCAGGACTACATCAAAAGTAAAAAGCTTTTGCACAGTGAGGAAACCATTGAAAAGCAACCTACCAAATGGGACAAAATATTTGTAAATCGTACATATGATAAGGAAGTTAATATCCAAAATAGATAATGAGTTCATACAACCCAACAGCAAAAACAAAAACAAAAACAATCTAATTAAAAAATGGACAGAGGAACCAAGCATTTTTCCAGAGAAGATATACAAATGGCCAACATGTATGTGAAAAGGTGCTCAAAATCATGAATCATCAGGGAAATGCAAATCAAAATCACAATGAGATATCACTTCACACCTGTTATCAAAAAGGTGTGGTTATAAAAAAGGTAAGAGATACATATTGCTGGAGACATGGAGAAAAGGAAACTCCTGTGTACTACTGGTGGGAAGGTAAACTGGTGCAGCCACTACAGAAACAACGTAAGAAGTTCTTCAAAAGATGAAAAGAAAGTGAAAACAGGATCTAGAAGAAATATCTGCACTCCTATGTTTATTGCTGCATTATGCATAGTAGCTAAGATATGGAAATAATCTAAGTGCCCATCACAGATAAATGGTCAAACAAGATGTGGTGTATTATGTACAATGGAATATTATTCAACCATTAGAAAGAATGTCCTGCTGTTTGCAACAATTATGGATGGACCCTGAGGGCATTATGTTAAGTGAAATAAGCTAGCGAGAAGAAGACAAATACTGCAGTCTCACTTCTATGTGGAAACTAAAGAGTCAAACTCACAGAAACAGTAGAAAAGTAGTTGGAGCTGAGGGCTGAGGAAAATAGGGAGAGGATGGTAAAAGGCTACAAACTTTCAGCTGCAACAGAAATAAGGTCTGAGGATCTAATGTAAAACATGGTGACTATAGTTGAGAACACTACAGTGTATCTGAAATTTGCTAAGAGAGTAAAATTTCAATGTTCTCACACATATAAAAAGACAAATATGTGAGATTATAGATATATTAATTACCCAGATAGAATCATTTCACCATGTATGTGTAATATTAGGTCAC